ACAACTGCAAAAAAGCGCAGTGTTATTGCGCACTATACAATTGAAAGAAACAGTTGTTTAACATACAACAAAATTAGTAGTCTATGCTTTAGAAATATAACACTAGATAACAGTTGTCTGATACTATTTTTGTTTAGTAGTCTTCCGAGCAGCAGTCTGATATATCTTTCAACTACTTTAGAAATTAGATATCTATATTTTTGACCGACAACACCAAACAGTAGGAGTCTGAAGTCGAAAACAATAGTAGTATGTATTATAGATAGACGACACAAAACCACAATTGTCTTTAACTCTAGAAAACAGATGTCTTACTCATACGAGAACAACTTCAAAATCATGTACTCTGAAAGATCACAAAATAGGTGTCGTCAAACGTACTACACAATTGTTTTAAACAATAGTCTGTAAATATATCAGACAACTGCTCAGAAGACTACTGAAACGAACACAGTTAGACAACTAAAAGAAATAGTTGTCAGCATCTGTTTTTGACGTAGTGATTTCAAAGAAGGACAGGTCAACGAGAATGGCTTGATGATTTCAAATGAGGACATGTCTTAGAGGGAAAGGCTTGATAATTCAAAGAAGCACGGGTCTCGAAAGGGAAAGGTTTGATGATTCAAAAGGACAGGTCAACGAGAATGGCTTGATGATTTCAAAGGACAGGTCAACGAGAATGACTTAATATTTTCAAAGGACAGGTCAACGAGAGTGACTTGATGATTTCAAAGAAGGACAGGTCAACGAGAATGGCTTGATAATTTCAAATAAGGACATGTCTTAGAGGGAAAGGTTTGATGATGTGGAAGGACTGGTCAGCAAGAATGACTTGATGATTTCAAAGTGTGATAGGTCAACACAAATATACTTCCCGCCCTTGATGATTTCCTCACAAGGCCGGTAAGTGGAGGACTTATTGATGGGTATATCCTTATACCCGACCCGGATAACCGAAAGGGACAGGTCAAAATATGACCGGTCACTTTTACCAGTCACCAAATGATGTTAACTCTTCAATTGGGACGGGTCAAATATTGATCGGTCACTTCCACTAAAAAAGTGACTGGTCACATTTTGGGCGATAGCCAAAATGTCACCTAATGTTGCGAAGAACCCAGAAGACCAAAATGACCGGTCAACCTTTGAGAAAAGGTGACCGGTCATATCATCTCACTTTACAAAGATTGATCCAGTATCTCAGGCATGGTGAACCACGTCAAAGATGGAGGGACCACCCCGCCATTCGCCCATCACGAGACAAACAGTGAAAGAGATGTTTGTCACCTTGCAGGGCTGATTGGATTGAGAATATCCATGTTATAGTCCTTGATTGAACAGTGCTCCTTGGTTGTATTAGTAGCAAGTCTATGATTAAACAGTGATTAGATTATGTACAGTGGCCTTCCTCCTGGTTTCCTATTTCGTCCATGAGTGAACAGGGGAAGGTCACAAATCCTCCTCTATAAATATGATGATATTGCATAGAGGAGGGGGGAATTCTTTCTCTCACTAAAACTACTACACTCTTGAGACAGAGTAAGAAATATATTTCGGACTGAGGAGATTTACCCGGTCTAGGTCATACTTTGTGTTCTTGTTGTGTGTTTTATATTACGGGTCAAGTGTCCAGGTTAAACTCGGTTAACCCGCCCAGCTATATTTACACCATCAAATATGTGTACTTGACTTACGGTTCTTTAATTGCTCATGCAAATTCCATAATTATTTACTTTTGAAAATCGGGATTTGTAAACCTGAAAACTAAAAAAAATTGTGAATTGAAAATCGGGATTTCAAATCTCGTTCTTCCCAATTGAGAATTTGAAGCTAAAACCCTTCCCTCTGGCATAATTTCTCCCATTAACCATCGCTAATCATAGGTTCATAGTATGGTCCATTTATTTATTTATTGGGGTTGTTGTTGTTGGAGTGTTAACCATCATGTCAAAGGTGGGTGGCGGGTATGTTCTAGATTTTTTGAAATCAATAGAACATTCTAGTAGGTCTCCCCGACACCTATATACGGAGCATTTATAAAAATAAAACAAGAACTTCTTGAGAATAGAATCCCTTTCGCTGACTTCACGGCATTTTTCCATTGAAATCAGACGGACAATATTGTTCTCTCCAAAGTAAGTTTGAAACTTTCAATTTCAATTGATTTTGAAAGGGTTTGATTGCAATTTTCGGGGATAAATTTTATCTGCTAGGTTTTGAGATCGTATATATTTTCTCTGATATAGTACTTGTATATATCTGGATGCATGTTGTGGTCTGTCCGATCCTGTTTGAGATGTATACATGTGAATGATTCGGATCTTAAATTTTTCCAAGGTCCTTATACTCTTCTAAAGGCGTTCAACTCTATTACTCCGTAGATCTTTGTCAGCTGTTAGCAATTTAGCATGATATGGATACATGATGTAGGAATTAGGATTTCTGAATTATTCAATTTTTGCAATTTTGAGATATTGGGATGTGTTCATTTGGGCGAATGATGGGTATCATCTTCTTGCAAAATGGGTTCTATTTCTGGATTTATATGGCCTTGTATAGGACAGTTCTTGACTTCATTCTGAAATTTTTGCACGCGAAAGACCGAAACACATTAGCCTTTACTCTTCAAACAGAGTTCATCATTGCGTCTTGGTCAGAGCTTCAAACTAGATTTGCTCTCTTTTAGTATTTCTTGTAGTTGTTTTGGCTAGGATCATTTTAGGGTTTGCACGTCTTTTGGCAAAGTGTGCAAATTTTAGCTCTTTTATAATTCTAAATAGATTAGAACTGAGGCTTAATTTGGTTGAGTTTTAGTGTGAATGGCTGAGTGTGTGAAGGTGATGATGTGAAATGTCAATTCATGTGTTTTTTCACACAACAATAATGATCTTAAACATGAGTTGCACAAAAGTTTCTTTGCTCTTTTTCTAACACTTGAGGAAGAGATGAGCATATTCTCTATTGCATGAAGGGAAAATCACAAAAGCTTATCTGCAATGTCTTTTTTTGTGTGGATATCATCTAGATTTTCTACCAAATACCAAATGATTGCCTCATTTAAATATTTGTATTGCTTGAATCAGCATGTATTTAAAAATACAAGTAGAAACATAGTCCAAAGGTTGTTTTTAAGTTGAATCATTGTGTAGTGACATCAAATGTCACTCTTACATTCATTCTTAGTTGCTCCCCTCGTCCTTCAATAAGGTGCAACGGTTATTAAGAAAGTTAAACTGTGGTTGGATTTATGTAGAAGACTGAAATAGTATGTACTACACTATTCTTTCTTTGGAAGGAAAATGGGATTTTTTTCCCTAGATGAAAAAACAAAAGGAAATATGATTTTTTTGGGAAATAACAACTGATTTTTTTTTTTGCCCCAGTTTTTTAAAGGGCCATGGTTGCATACTACTTGACCTTAACCTCCAACAGAGTTGGGAGTATATTGGGTTTTTTTGGTCTTGTTTCTGTTGTTAGATGAAGTAATAATTAAGAGTTACATGTTTTCAAGATTGTAGATGAGAACATATATTTGGAACATTTCACAAATAGTGTGTGAACACTAATATGAAAAAAATAGATATTTGTTTATGTTAAAATATTTAAGGGACAATTATAAGTATATTTTTTGAAGCACGTAGAATACAGTGAATTCAGACATTTGAATTACATTGTCATCAAATTAGCACTTATAGCCAGTTTGAGTCACACTTTATTCCAACCAAAGTACTAGCTTTGCTCTGTAGCTGAGTACTGACTGTCACATGGGCTGAAAGCAGGAAATCCCACTTTGACATGCATAGTGTAAATACTCCCTCCCTCCCAAATTTGATTAAAAGTTGGCATTTACGAGGCAAAATCTCCCATCTTTTGAAATCATTTTATTTACAAAGTGGTATATCGATAAAAAGTAAAAATTACATATTAAAAAATTACATAAAAACTTCTACAAAAGAAGAGGTGTCAAGAATATTTTATTTTATCAAATAATCAATAAAAACACACAAATAAACAAAAGTTATTGAGAGGAGAGAAAAAATTGTAATCAAAATTGTGCATGTTTCTTTGTGAAAGCCTTTGCATAGTCTTAATAGACAATTATCAAGAAATATCACTTCCGATGATTCGACTTAATATAATCAATCTGGGAATCTCATACTGTGTAAATGTGTTATTTGGTTGATCAATCCTTGCATTCTTTTGGTGTGGGTCAATATTCATTTTTTTTTCAAGTTCTCTACCAGCTCACCTTATGTGTTTTTATCTTTTTGCTAATTAAGTTGTTTAGATTGTGCTTCTCCCAGCCCATCCATCCACTCCTATTGTAGTATTTTCTTAACCTGTACCTGATATCAAGGAAGTCTTTTTATTGGAGTGCTGAAGATGGCAGAGGTAAAAATATAAATTTAGTTTGGTTGGATTTCATATTTTAGATATTCTATGTGAAGGATCTAAATTTTGGATTGTGGCAGGACGGACACAAGGTCTCATTACACGTGTATGACTTAAGCCAGGGACTGGCTCGTCAGATGTCTGCTGCCTTCCTGGGAAAAACGATTGAAGGCATATGGTGAGTTTCACATTATAAGGGCATACATGAACGTACCCCCTATATACCATAACAAAGTTTACATTTTGACTTCATAGGGTTTTAGATAAGTGTTGAAAAGTTAAAATTGTGTGGGTGGAAGTTTTTTAAAAGAGAGAAATTTAATGAGCCATATATTCCTTTCCTAAAAAAGAAATGTGAGAAGTGTAAATTTTATTTTGAGACAGACGAAAAGGAAAGTGTAATCTTCATTGCTGGATGGACAAAATAGATGTGTAAACTTCATTGTGGGACGAAGAGACGATAATTTAGGAATTCGGGTAGAGGGTATTCAAGAGATTGGGGATGAATGAGCTCAATATATTACCCAAACTAGTGTAACTGACCCCATAAAGAAAATTCTGCAGGCACACGGGAGTAGTTGTTTATGGCAATGAATATTATTTTGGTGGTGGTATACAACATGCTCCTGTGGGTAGCACTCCATATGGGACTCCGTTGCAAGTTCTAGACCTTGGTGTGACACACCTTCCGGAGGATGTGTTTGAATCATATCTGCTGGAGATTAGCCCTCGCTACACTGCAGAAACATATAGTTTGCTGACCCATAACTGCAACAATTTCAGCAATGAGGTTGCTCAGTTTCTAGTGGGTGCGACCATCCCAGAATATATTTTAAACCTTCCAAATGAGGTCATGAGCAGCCCAATGGGTGCTCTCATGTGTAAGTTACCTTCCTTCCACATCTGTTTATTTTGAAGATCATGTTTCCAAAGAAATGTGGAATTAAGTTTCTGGAACAAGAGTGTAGATTAGTGATTTACAACACTCTTGACATGACACTCTTATTTAGAAACATTACTTAGAACAAGGGTAACCCGTGACTGTTAATGCAGTGCCAATGATCCAACAGATGGAATCCACATTAAGAGCAGGTGCAGTTCCTCAAGCCCCCATGTTCAGACCAGCAGCAGTTGCAGCAGCAGTTGCCCCCCCTTCTGCTTCCCTGTCAGAAAAAATAGTTGCAAGCAACAGTACTCTGTCTGAAGACACAAAAAAGCATAACGGCGTTGATTCTCGGAAGCAAAATGCCAGGAGTAATGGAGTTTTGCCTGCGTGTGCCAATCCTGCACCTGCCAATGTCACCACAGACCCTTTGGGAGATGCTCGCAGCAAAATACAAGGTGAGATTGCGAAAGAATTTGATGCAATCATGGCAACTGGGACGATGCGTGCTAGTGAGGCTGCCACTTTAGCAACTAAGAAGGTGATGCAAAAATATGGACACGGTACCAATGCGGCACAAAGCTGATATTGCACATCCATAAACCATTGGTGAGAGACTTCCCCAATTGAAGGATTCCATTGCTATGTTACTTACTCCTAGTTGAAATGTTTTCTTTCTTGGCGACTAATTGATTTGGTGACGATTTGAATTCTAAAAAGTGAACACATTCTTGAACTGTGTTACCCTTTTTAAAGGTTCTTTTTGTAGGCGTTTTTCTTTTGCAATTCAAATCGACCCTTGAATGAGTGGTAGACATCTCAAGAAGCGGTGAAAAGAAACATGGTCTGGTCTTTGGTCCCTATCTGACTGCTCAGATCTCATGGAGCATAAGAGATAGGTTTTGATATTCTTTAAATGGGAACAATTCTGTAGGTGATTGGTGATGCCTAAACAAGGTTTGAATATGAAACTTCTATCTTGATTTAAATTTGGACAGTTTAGCTCGGGATTAAAAAATCTATTGAAAAGTTAAAAAGTGGGAACTTGAAAGTTGAAATTTGTTTAGAAGAACAGAACTATTGTGGAGGCAGTATATAGATATCCCAAAAAGTGTACATTTTTTTAGGACATAAACTCATTTGTGTCATTTCTAATACTACTTACGGCGTCATTTTGCTGGGTAGCAATTGATTTGGGATGGAGGCTGGATATTACAATCTTCCTAAGTGAGAATATTTTTATGTATATCTCATATACCAATCAAGAGTTTTGATATCTTTTTTCATATCGTTGACAGCAACCCGTTATCGTCGATCCCACCCAAAATTGTAGACCATTTGTTGCCACAAAATATCTCTTATTCATGTCATTAACTATATCAAATATTCTGTATCACTTACGGAGTATCATTTTTTTAAAAATATTTTTTAGTATTATTGACTGGAATCAAGATATTCAAATCTAACTTGCTTGAATTAAATTCAAATCTAGATTAAGTTGGGTTGAGTTTGAATATACTAAAACCAGAATCGAACCTATCTCATCATTCCTATATTGAAAGAGCTTATTGGTACATTTGGATGACCCAAATACACATTAATCAGTCTACTTAATTATGGAGTAATTAGTTTTTATTGGTACATTTTTTTATGGCTTCCTTCTATCGTGTTTTGCTCCTCTTGGTCACAATTCGTAGGGTTAGATACGAGTAGTGGTATGTTATGAATTGTGAGTAGGAATTACATATGGAATTGTACAAAAACATTTTTAAAAAAAAAAAAACTAATTTATCTTGCCGTTGAAAGGCTAGAGTTTAGCAAAACGTGGAGAGGGGGCATGGCGCTATGGTTGTTGTGGCAGCAACTTTTTTTTCGTGATAGCACCTAGGGGGCGGGGGGCAGGGGCATATTCCAGCGTTATAGTGGCACCATGCTAACACGCAAGAAGCCCATTACACAAACTCTAATGCTATGGCATAGAATTACAAGAATGGTAAATAGTGATAGAAATGAGGATATAGACGATTAGTTGGATAAAAATCTAAGGACAATTAAAATTCGAAAAATTTAGAAATAAAAACAATTGGTACTTATCAAACAATTACAATCTCAGATTCAACCATAAAGGGGAGAAATTTTACTTGGCTCGATTTAAAACCTACTGCAACAAAATCTGATAACATTACCTATCGATGACCTTCTCTGGCCTACAACAACAAGTTATACTCTGACCTTTGCTTTTTCTTCATGGAATACAAAGTATTTGGGACTTTGGGTGAATGCCATTGGTCATCACGATAACTTCCTCGACATGTTCTTCAATCCACATCCTAAACACTTCAGTACGACCGTCCTCGACTCAGAATCGGGTTCAATGACAAATGTAACCCCTAAGAAATCTCTGATGTGCCTCAAAGTCTCCATCGCATAAGGCGAAAGTTTGCCAACACGGACTTTGGAAACATCTTGCGGGCACAAGGCACACAGAAGAAACAACAGACCCTGCAGACACAAGTGCAACTCTATGATGATGATGATGACAAGTTTTGAAGTTCCAATTCGTTGTGTTTTCAAAACAAGGTTACAAAAAAGAATGGCATCTGGAGTGCATATATACTTGTGCAAATTACGTGCGTAAGTGAAAAACATACCATAGTACTATATGACAGCATTAAAGTAATTCCTCCTCAAATTAATCACCTCACTTTCCCGTTTAGTCCATCCTAAAATGATTCTCACTTTTTTACTTTCTAATAAAGTAAAGAATATGTGATCTACAATCTTTTGTCTTTTTTCCTCTAATCAAATTTCAACCACTCACTTTTTACTTTTCAACACTTTTCTTAAACTCCGTGAAGTCAAATTGGGACGATTAATTCGAAATGGGGGGGGAGTATACTTCATCCTTTCTTTATTAACTGTCCATATCACGATTTATGTCAGACTTTTGATGAGTCAACTAATTAATACTAATTTAATTGATGTCCCACTATTTTTGTCTCATACCATATATGGTCATATTTATGTGGCTATTTTCACTTTATCTTACTTTTTCTTTACTTTTTACAGCAATATCAACCACACAATTTTACTTTTCTTAATCTTTGTCTTACACCCTCATAACCCAAAAATAGTAGGATGAAGGGAGTAAATAAAAAATAAAAAATTAAAATTTTAATATAAATAAAAAAGGCAAGAGGAAAAGTCATCGAGGTAAACACCTGGTGTGTGGAATCAACAACGCCTCCCTGTTCAATTTCATTCAGTAGCGCAGAAGCAATTTGCTCGCCAATATCCGCAGGAGGGGTTAAGTAATGGCTATCTTTATCATCACCAATGTCCATAGCATCTTCTTCTACTGCATAAGATACAGCAGTGTCAGCCGAAAAGAAGCAACCAGAAGTGGTTTCTGCAACAAGGGAAATTCCATAGCCAGGTGACCTGCAATTAACATGACATGTCCTGGATGAGATCAGCCAGGGCATTCAGGCAATTAGTGAATACTGATGTGTAGAAAAGTTAGCATACCCTCCAGCTTGTGGGCCAGCCTTATGGTCAGTAAATATATGAATGTCAGCAAGCAGCGGATTCAATATGCCACGAGCTGCATGTATCATGGTATTTTCGAACTGCACAGACACTTTTGTAGAAAAAGAAACACCTCTTATTCTCTTTACCAATCCCCCATCAGTCCAGCTGACTGCCTGAAAAACAATTGAGGTCAGATCCATGAGAAGCAAGTGCACTCGACTTAGTGACTTTCACTGTTTCAATGTTCTCAGCGAAAAACAAAACTGATGCAACTTGAGAACACAAACTCACTCTTAAACTATCCTGAACAATCGGGACAGATAAAATTACTTCTCCACCCCCATTGGGAGCAACTCCTCTGCTCTCAACTTTCAGCCCGAGTCCTTCTGAAGGCACTCCAAACTGCTTCAAAATAGGCAAGGTAGCCGATCTAAAGGTATCAACAGATGGATCCTTAGGATCATTTGTGATCCCTGAAAGAGTAAATTTTCATTCAAATATATATACACTACAAATGAAAAGAAAAATGAAATGCTAATTATTAAAACACAGATGCCATAATAAGATTCATGCTTGAGAACAATTTATGCTTAGAATGTGAGAGATACTTGAAAACAAAGTAAGAACTGCAGAACCCTGAGCCTATTAGAGTATTAAACGTTAAGTACTACTTGAGAAATCCAGTTAACTCTTGTGCGGCGCATATTCAACTAACTAATTTAAAGTTAGGAATGAATGGCTCAGAATACGGTCAAGGCATTCTAGAAATTGTAAACTTGTAAATAGAAGTACTCTGTATTTTAATACTCCCTCCGCCCAAATTAATTTTCCCAGTTTGAGCAAGCATGGAGATTAAGAAAAGTTACAAATTTTGTTAACTTTCCCGATATGCCCTTGAAGATGGTACCAATATCATCATTGATGCAATTTTCGAAACATCACTTCCAATAACTTCTCCATCATTACATTATCATCAATGCAATCACCGCCACTCATAGTGCTTCACCTCCGGCAACTTATCCCCTTTCCATTTCGATGCCAGATATTCAATACAAGAACCAGATCATCATTGTTGATGCAAAGACCGAAAAGTTTGAGTTATTAAATTATTTTCAGAACCTCACTATTTTCTGTACTACATTGTTGTTTCACACATACCTTTACCGCTCATCTTTTTAATACTTTGGGTTATCTATTACGTCTTCCCGGGCAAAAGACTTCCAAAAACTTCTCAACCTTCATAGGTAGGGGTAATGTTCGCATACACCCCTCCCCGTATCCCACTGGCAACCGATGAGACTTAATTTGGTTTCTGTTTTCATTGTTGTTAACTGTTTCAAATATCGGAAATAAGAATATTAATTTGGAGCAATGAAAAACTGGGAATACTACTATGAATCAGAAGATGGGGTGGCTGGCAACTTTTCCCTATAAAAACTTTGTTAGAGTGTCATCCCACATCGGAAATTCAAGAACAAAATAATCGGTATATAACTCTTGAGTTGAATAAACTAATCGATTGGATTCAATCTTTTAATGTGGTTCAACGCAAGTGTCTAATTACCCAATCCAGTTGTTCATACTCATCCTAAATTCTATCATGGTATCAGAGCAGGTTTTGGCCCACCTCGTTTGTCAAGGTGTCCGTCTAGACGTTCATTCCTAGCGGCCCGTTAGTCTTTAGCCCAGTTGTCCAAATGGAGTATGTACCGAACGGCCTATGGCCCGTTTAACATGATTGCTTGTCTGGAAGTCCATACCCAGCGGCTCATGGTCCTTTAGGTGTTGGCGCTCAAAAAAAATAAGGGAATGGGAGTTTATTTGCAAGTGGTCAACCAGTTAGATTCAAAATGGCCCAGTTGTCCACTTGAGGGGGAGTTTGTCCACTTGAGGGGAGTGTAAAAGTGTCATCCCACATTGGAAGTTCAAGAGTAAAATAATTGGTATATAAGCTCCTGAGTTGAAGTAACTAATTTATTGGATTCAATTTTTTAATGTGGTTCAACTCAAGTGTCTTATTACCCAATCCAGTTGTCCATACTCAATCTAAAAATTCTATCAAACTTAACTTCTAGAATTTCATGTTCTTTCTTTAGAACATCCATACAACCCACGATCAACTCATCAAATTAGAATATTAGATCATTTCCCACTATAATTGAACTACAAAGTGTCCCGCATGTCAATTCACACAATGTGTTAATCCATCCATATACTTTAGAAGATTCTCCCATACATAATCAATGGATATTGGTGTGTGGGAAGGTGGGAATTGAAAATTTTCATAATTAAAATATTTAATATATTATTTTAATTTGTAGTTTTTAAATTTTATAACTATCTATACTTGATTAAACCAGTTGAGTATCCTATCAAAAGAGAACGGGAATTTGATCCATCCTCCTTTTTTTCCTACATTAAGGTCCTGTTCTTTTGGATTGAAAAAATTAACTTCCAGCTTCTTCCAACTCTTCCCAGTTCCTTCCAACTCCTAGTTTTTTCTAACGACTTAAAAAATTATTTATATATGACAAATATACAATAACATTAAATATCCAAATTTATAACTTACCACCTCAGACACTGACAAAAATGGATTCTTTTTTATTCCAAGCTTTTTCCAACTCCTTCCAGTTTCTTCCAACATCTAGCTCTAAAATTTCAACCCAAAAGAACAGGGCCTAATAGCCTATTATTTAGGTTTGTAAAAAAAGAATTGGATGTTTGAAGCATTAAATTGAAATGAGTTGGTAGAAACTAAAAGAAGTTTGAAGAAACCAGAAAAAATTAGAATGAGTTGTAAAAAAACTAAAAAGTGTTGGAAAATATTGGAAAAAAATAAAAAAGTAAATGAATTTTTTCCATGGAATTTCATGTTTTTAAATAGTTCATAAATTACTTCAATTTCACTATTTTATTTTTTCAATGTCTTATCTTTGTGATTCACACTCATTATTATTTTGTCTTTCACTTTTTAATATATATAATACACTTTATTTTACTTATTATATTACATGACACTAACCTATCTTCCAAAAATTATGGAGAAAAGAACTATTTTTATTCATTTGAATTGACATGGGGAAAACACCAATATTTTAATTTAGAAAATAATAAAAAATGACCAAAAAAATATGTAAAAATACAAATTAGGAGAACAAAGAATAGAACTACGTAAATAAATTGAGGTGTAACCATTTTAATATTTTATGATAACATTATAATGCTAATTAAAATTTATTTTTTTAAACGTACGAAATGTTTTTTGTATAACTTATGACATTGCTTAAATTCTTCTTTTTGAAACAATTACTTAATTCTTTTTATTGTATTATATAAATTCATTAGGATAACAGATATTATGAACATAATAATAGTAATAATAATAATAATAATAATAATAATATGAAAAGTACACCTAAATATTTTCTTAAAGTAATTGTTGGAAGAAACTGAAAGATGTTGGAAGAAAAAGAAACTAGAAGATGTTGGAAGAAATTGGAAGAGATTGTTAGAAAGTGGAAGTAGTTGGAAGAAACTGAGTTAATTTTTACAACTCTAAAGAACAAGCTTTAAATCATTAATAAAACCGACGTTGCATACTTCTCAACATTGCCTGCTTCTTTGTTAATCTCACACTATTATATCTCTTTGATTTCGTCTTGCACTGCTCCATCTTTTCATAAATTCCTTTTTGTGGCAAAATTTGTCTATGCCTCTTAAGGTAAACTAATTATTTATAAAATATTAGTTTATTTTTTTATTTCATAGTAAGGGAGAAGTTTCCTCAGTTGGTATTTTTGTCCATATTTGGCCTAGTGTTTCTTATTTATCAACACCATAAGACTACTTTGTTGCTAGAAAATCTCTAATTCTGCCTCGCTCCTTTCAGCTTCTAAACACCTCTATTAAAAAAAATCCTAATTCCTTTGTAGTCTATGATGAAATTATGAATCCAATTAAATTTTTTCTAAATCAGAATAAGATTTAACAGAGGGGTTCACAAACATATTATTAGATATTTGATTTGCAACATTTGAAGCATCTGTAAGTCAAGTACTAGCCCAAAAACTCTGCATACTGGCCACTTTTTTTCATGTTTTATTGAGCTTCTTATTCACTTTCTTTAATTCTACCACATGTGAATTATTGTATCTTTTTTCTTAAGGTGCTTCTGAGGTTTCTCTCATACTTGAAGAGCCACTATATTAAGTTTTGAGGGAGCAAAATATATAGTTAGAGCTTCTGGTGTAACTTGTTGATGGGTAACTGGCCATTCATCCAGAGTAGTGTTAATGTATTTGCGTGTGTATGGGATTGTTAGCTAATCCAATCACAATCTAATCTTGTGTGTTAACTGCTATATTTTGTTGTCTAGAGTTGCGTCACTAAGTAAAAGCATTTCTAATTCTCTATCAGTGTAGATTCATTTTGTTTTACTTCTACAATTGAACTACAAACATGGTCAATTTCACTACAAAATATTCCCTCCATCCCATATCTTTCTTCTTGTTTTCCTTTTTGGGTCGTCCCATATCTTTCTTCCCATTTCTTAATTTGGTAAATAAATTTTGTCAAAAAGACTAAATTAAAGGAGGTGATTAGGCAGGATTTAGGACTTCTCGACCTGACTGAGGATATGGCCCTAGATAGGAACCTTTCGAAAACTAGGATTAGAGTATCTAGATAGGAGCTCGGTGTTGTAGAGGTTGTTTTGTAGTGTGTTGTATTTGTTTGGAATCTTCTGCTATTGCTTGTACTTGTTGCTTGTACTTGGTACTTTATCTGTGTTATACTGTGTTCCCTTCCATATTTTTGTGCAGGTGGAGCTAGGGGTCTCTTGGAAACAGCCTCCCTACTTCCAAGTAGGGGCAAGGTCTGCGTACACACACCCTCCCCAAACCCTACTGTTGTGGGATTCACCTGGGTTGTTGTTGTTGTTTCTTCTACTTCCCAGCCAACCCACGTTTCCCTCCCACCCCTGTTTGTTTTCTTATCCTTCTTCACACTCCCCCATGTTTCTTCTTCGTCTTCTTCAACGTATCTCTCCTTTCTTCCTTTTCTTCGTCATACCACACCCTTCCTCCTATTATTCTTCTTCTTTATTAGCCTTTGACAGACCAATTGCAAAGAAAAGGGGCAGCAACAGAGAACTCTAGATTTGATGTTCAACTTTTGAGTACGAACCCTAGATTTGATTTTCAATTTATTTATCACCTTCTACTCCTCATCGATCGACAGTTCTCTTTTTGGATTTCTTTGTGGATTAACTCTAGATTTGATTTTTTTAATGTGATGGGATTTGATTTTGATTTCATTTTATATTTTGAATTTTGATTTTAATTTCCCTCTCATGTGGGCCACACTGGATATGAGGTTGAAGATCGAAGATGTTGATGATGAGGTATGGCATGGGTTTGAGGCGGAGGGCAATGGCGGGGGGCAGGAGTTACAGAAGAAGAATAGGCAAATAAGTGAGGGTAGAATTGGAAAGTCAATGCATTTTACATTAAAAACCGTGCCAAGTCAAAACAAGAAAGATAATGGACAAAGGGAGTAATAGTATAGTATATTAGCCATTCCTAGGTCTGAATCTGATAAAACATTTGGTTTTGAGGAAATTTATCTCTATAGTATTATACATAGCGAACATACGCATCTTTTCACTTTCATACTTTGTAATCTTTAGATTATAATTCATAGTTATTATTTAAAATCTTAGATATCTCGCTATCTAGTGCACTACGTGTCAAAGACTAGCATTAAATTAGTATTTTGTATTTATGTGGAAGCATCTCCAGACCCTACTGTTGTGGGATTCAACTGGGTTGTTGTTGTTGTTGTATTTATGTGGAAGCATGTTGGTGTAGTGGCAAAGAAGCCACCCCAAGCTTCTCCACATCCATTGCATAGTTGTTACGGTGGCTAGGCGAGGCTGGGCGCTAGAGCACCTTCCAATCGCCTAGGCGATTAGGCGCCCGCCTAGGCATCTGCTGGGCGAGTGGGCTATGGCGACCATAATAATTTATAGGTACTAATGTTAAAGCATATAGTATGAAATAATTAATTAAAATGAACATTGATACCAACTTTATGAAATAGAGTATATATATATGTATATATATGTATATATATATATATAAGCCTACTATAATAAAGTGAGCTTTTAAAAGGCCTACTAAATTTTGGGCGTTATACTCTTGTGTAAAGGTCCAATAATCTTCTAATGAATCTAGCCCAGTTACTTGACCTAGTCCGCTAGTCTAAATGATAGAGAGATAGAAAGAGACAGTGGAGTCGTTGCAGATCTAGAAGCCGCTGCAAACCGCGACAAATAATTGGCGAGAAAGATAAGTCTTCTCTATCTCCTCCGTCTTCTCGCTCTATCTCGCGCGTTCGCTTGCGCTTCTAAAACGGAGACGCGTCTCCGAGATGGAGACACAGTCACCCGTTTCCGTACAACACAGTAGCCCAGGGAAAAAAAGCTAGGCGACCGATTTGGCATCCACAAAACCTCGCCCAGATGCCTATGTGACGCCTTGATAACTATGATCCAGTGTTCAAGCCCCACCCTTGCATTAAAGATATTGAGATTATAAGATTGAATAGATACTAGACTGATACGTCTTGGAGCTATTTAAAAAAAGTACTCCCTCCGTCCGAAAATAATCTTCCCATTTCTACTTTTTCTCCGTCCGGATATAATCTTCCCATTTCAATTTTTCATACACTAACTACCCAAAATACCCCCACTTACTAATATTCACTCTCCCTTCCCACTTTCTCTCTCCTCCCTTAATTCCTCGCCTCTCTCCTCTCTTTTCCTCCTTCCTCTTCTCTCTACATTTGTTCCTCTTTTTCTTCTTGAGAATTGGTCGGAGAGGTGGAAATGCATCAACCACCAGGTGCCTTCCTTTGCTTCTTTCTTCTTCTTCGTCTCCCCCTGTTTTTTCTCGCTTCTGTTTATTTTCCTCCGGATCTCATTTCTTCTTCTCCTCCTCCTCCTTCTCCCCTCCGTTCTTTCTCGTCCTCCTTTTTTCCTCCAGATCCGCTCTTTCTTCTTCTTCTTCTCCCCCCCCCCCAATTCTTTCTCATCCCTCTTTTCTTTCTCCAAATCAATTTATCTTCTTTCTTCATCTTCTTATTCCCCTTGTTCTCCTATTTGTTTTTCTTCTAAATCTGTAAGGTGGAAAGATCTAGGGGCTGAGATGGTGTTGAGGGCTGCGGCGATAGTGGGGCGTCGGCGGTACTTTAGGGCCTGTGGTAGCGGTGGGATGGGATTCACGGAAATGATATGGTGGGAGCAAGGGGCAGGGCCGCAGGGACAGTGGGTGGGGACAATTGAGGGGAGGGTATTTTGGACATTTCCATCCTAAAGTCAACACTTCATAAAAATGGGAAAAAGTCCAAATGGGAAGTTTAATACCGGACGGAGAGAGTATTTATTTTCTATTTATCTCTGCTTGCATTTAGCAACTTTTCACATATATTTTTGAAATGTAAAACATCAAATTAACAACCTGGTGAACACTTTGAATTAAACAACAATAAATTCAAACAATATTTCTATTACATTCTCAAACAACATTTCTATAGCATTTACATAACATATTGCATATAATTAATGGGTTTTGAGTAAATGTTTTCTTGTTGTTGTAAAGATACCTTTTTTAGCGAGCTCTTATTCTTTGAAAATAAGAGAGGAAAAATTGTGTAAAACAAGAGCTGTGCAGCATTTCACAGTAGAATGCAAATCAACAATACTCCCTATGTTTTCTCTCAATCAACCCTCAGTTATCATTCACTCTGTACCCCAGCCACATTCAAGTATTCAACACCCAATAGCAACAATAAAAAAGGGCAAATGCAAGAAATACCTTTAAGCCTAATACTCAGAGGCTTCTTTCCAAACAAGCCAAGAACAATCAAAGGTTCCATGAAATATCCAATTGAGCGACTCACTCCACAGTCATGAGTTAAATTCTTCCCACCCATCACAATCCCGGGTTTGTACCTCAACTTTGTGCCTGCCCAACAATAACAATATAACATTCAGAAAATCTATTATAAACCCTAACTTGACAAGAGTTAAGAAGATCCGGACAATATAACTTACCAGTTTCATTGATTTCAACCACGCAGTCATCACAGACCTTCTCTAGGAGGCGGAGGAATGATACTTCGTGGTGGCGGAGGCCAGGCCATGTGGCGTCAGAGCGTATGTCCTCAATGAGAATCGGAGTTGCAGAGAGGGTGGAGAGAAGCAGCCGTAGCCTCAGGTTCTGGCTCCCCTTGAACTTCATATATGATATCTTTCCCAATGTCTTCTACAGCACCTGTTCCCCGGGGGCTGGGATTTAGGCTATGTTTGGTTGGAGGTAGGTAAAAGTTTTATTAGGTTTGTAATGGTAGGTAATTGAAGGTAGGTAAAGTAAGGTAATGAGTTAAAAAATTCTGTTTGGATGTTTATTAGGTAACGTGAGGTAGGGAAAGAATAAAATTACTAAAATATCCTTGTGGTTGTTTTTCTTTATTTGTTTAGGATGTATTTATATGAAATTGCCTTTCACATAATATTCATTTGTACGGACTTTTATATGCGTATGTAAAATATATATACAAAATTATTTTTACATCAATTCTAAACATTTTTTTAATTTAATTTATTAGAATTTATTTAAATTTCAAATGTAAAATTTTAAAATTAAATAAACACTCTTGGACGAAACTTCTAAGTAACATCATCTTATATAAATGCAACTGACCAAAATTTAGTTGTCATACATTTCATAATAAAAACATCAACCATATTGTTCTTCCACACATCAAAAAACATGGACATTGACTTCAAATGTAACATGTGTTCACAAAAAAACAACGACATATATAGACACAAGTCTTATGATAAATAAAATAGTGATCAAATGTCTAATTTCTTTTTTAAAAAAATATAATTGACAATGCAGCAATACAACTATACAAGTTCAAGTGATCAATGTCTAATTTCTTTTTAAAAAAATATATTCAAATGTGCATATAATTTATATATTCCATATATCAGGAATAACAATTACAGAGTTTATACACCAGAAATTTAGTTATATATGAAGTATGTATTATTTCGATTTCAATTGAGAACTAACAGTGGGATAAACTCCATTCATGATGAATATAATTAAGCTATCACCTCTAATGACTCTTTTGCAGCAATACAAGTTCAAGTGATCAAATGTCTAATTTCTTTTTTAAAAAACTATATTCCAATGTTCATATAATTTATATATTCCATATATCAGGAAGCAAAAAAGAAACAAAAAGAAACAAAAAACTGAAAAACAGAAACAAAAAACAGTGGAAAAAAGGAAAACTGAAAGAAACGAAAACTGAAAGAAAGGAAACAAAAAAACGAAAACTGAAAAAAAAAGTGAAAGAAAGCTGGAAACTGAAAAAAATTGAAAATTGTAGTAAGCAGAGGAAATTAAAAACTGGAAATTTAAAATTGAAAAAAGTGTAAAATTGAAGTAGAGCAGAACGAAAAAAGTGAAAAAAAATCTGGAAATTGAAAAAAAAAAGTGAAAATTGAAGTGCAAAAAAAAGTGAGCAATGGCTATAGAAATTGAAGAGCATAGCAGAACAAAAATAAGCACGTAAAAAAATCTGAATTGAACAGCGAAGGAGCAGATGGAGATCAAAATTGAAACAAAAAAATCAACTATGCAGCGATTATGGCGGAATTGAAGAGCAGAGCAAATCGGAAAAAAAAATTGAAAATTGAACGGCTACCGGAATACCTGTCGATTGGCGATCGGAACCGGCGGAAGAAGAAGGAGATGTGAAGATGGCGATTGGTTTCGTGCGATTGGGTGAGGGGCAGCGGCTAATTACCTCGATATTTTGCAAATAAAATATTAAAAATATTAAATCTACCTCCCTCTATAATTACTTCCCTCCACCTCTCCCTAGTCCCTACCCTATATATCTCAATTTTTGTTACAAATAAAATATTAAATCTACTTCCATCTATCTCCTCCTACCCTCAAACAAACACAATGTTAGAATATGTATGGATTGAAGAAGGTAAAGTTTTATTAGTTAGTAAATACGAAGTAATAGGTATTTGAAGATAGGTAAAATAAGGTAATAAGTTGAAAATTGTGTTAGAATATTTATTAAGTCATGTGAGGTAGGTAAAACATTAAAATTACCTACATACCCTTGTTCTCCACGCATCAAAAAATAGCAAAAATACATACTCCTTCCGCCCCTAATTTAATTACAAATTAAGGTTTACGAGGTGAAATATCTCACTTTTTGAAATTATTTTATTTACAAATTGATATATTAATAAGAAAAAAATTACATATTAAAAAACTACATCAAAAGCTCAACAAAACAAGAGGTGACAAAAATATTTTATTTTATCAAATACTTAATGAAATCGCATAAACAAAAAAAGTTATCGAGAGAAGAGAGAGAAAAAATTGTAATCAAATTAGTGACGGAGGAAAACAGTTTAAAAGAAGAGAATAAAATAATTGACAAAAAAGCAGAAAAAACAGGAAAAAAAGCAAAAAACAACAAAAAATAATAGAAAAAAAGGCACAAAAAACCGCAAAAAAATAGAAAAAAAATTAAACGGCAAAAAGAAACATGAAAAAACAGTAGATTTCACTAATTGACAAAAAAAGCAGCAAAAAAACAGTACCTGAAATCCACCAGAGGAAAGAAAGTTCACACCGGAGAGAATGGAGTCGCCAGTTTTAGAGTTGCGGCGCTGCGTCTGGGTCGTCGACGAAGATCGCGGATGGGAGAGCTGCGACAGGAAGAAGATCGGAGTGGAGAAGGGCAACAGGGGACAGAGAAGATCGGATGGAGAACGAAAAAAAATCGAAGGGAAACACTGAAAACCGAAAGTTTAGCGTAGATTTATCCTGGTGGTGTCAATTTTTTCAATGTTAAGACCTTAAATTACTTTCCCTTCGCCTCCTATTTGCTATCTCAATTTTTTCCCAAACAATGTTCATCTTGCCTTACCTTACCTCCACCTCCCTCAATCCAAACACACCCTTAAGGGGTGTATTTAATTACGATTTTGATGGATTTTTTTTGTATTTTAAAAGTTGGTGGATATTCAACTCGGACTTTGAAAAATCTTTTAAAATATGAAGGTATTCAAGTGAGATTTTGAAAAATCATTTGAAATGCAGAGGTATTCAATTGAAACTTTGAAAAAATCTTTCTAAATCTAATGGTATTAAAAAATTGATAGATTCTCAATGATCGTTACAAAATATGAATTTTGAGGAATTTTTAATTTTAAGTATAAATAAAAATCCCCATTAAGAATTCGACCAAAATCGTTGGGATTTTGCCAATTCCTTTCTCCTTTTACACATATTCTTCTCTTTTCCCCTTCGCCTTTCCCTTCTTTGTCATCTCCTCTTTCCTCCATCATCGCCACCTCTGCAGCTTCACCATCAATTATCTTCAATAGAAGAACACCTTTGCCACCACCGCCACCAAAGTAGATGTCGCTGATGACATCTCTTTCACGGATCTGGAGTGGAGAGATCCGTGAAGGAGATGGTGTTGCTCTGGCGTAGATGCAATCCACAATAATCCAATCTTGCTCCAAGTTAAATGAAGAGACAATTTAAAAAAGAAGAAAGAGGAAGAATTGAATCCCCTTGTGAATCCCCTTTGCGAATCCCCTTTGTGAACCCACCAGAGAAAGAGTCGAAGAGCCAGGAAGAGGGCATATCATGGAGACATGGACTTTTTAAATTATTATCAAATTTATTAAAATCTATCCAAACTCATATGGAGTTTATTAATATCTATCTTGATTGATATGGAATTAAAATAATATATGAATCATACATAATCTTTGGATTTTAAAAATTCTAAAAAAATCTTTTGAAATCTCAATCAAATACACCCCCCTTAGTTCTACACTGTGGGGTATGTTAACAGAAGTGGATCTAACACTTGTTTCCCCCGTGGCAGTCGAACGGTAAATGATGTAACTACGGTTTAGAGTTCCTTCTATAGTTCTATGTACCCTCTTTCCTCTTTTTTCGAATTGGTTTTTCTGAGGTGTGTGGGGCTACCCAACTTTGTACTCAAGTTGCATGTTAATTTATTTGGGGTTGGTCCAAACATATTAATAATGATTGACACCCAGCCCAGCAGCCCATTTACTCAAGCTCATCCCATATTCCTAACTCAATTAAGCTTGTCTTAATTATCACTCTAATATCTACTATATATAGAGAGGTTGTGTGCTTGTGTTGAACCGTGGAAAAAACTCCTCCTCCTCTTTATGAGTCTTCCGTGTGGTTTTCTCTTCCCGTGTGTTCATCTCTGTTCTTCTCCGTTTCTTTGTGAGTGGAGTGTGGCGAGGTCGGGTTGGGGTGTTGCTCCTTTTGTATATCCTAGTAGTGCACAACTATGGATCGATTTTACGGGTGACATAAGTCTAATCGGAATAAATAAATACACCTAACAGTGGTATCGGAGCCTCGTTCTTCCTTTGAATCTTTTTTTCGTCAACCCCTTATTGGGATAACTTTTGTGGTCAAGGATTGAGTACCATTTATTGGAACTTCTTTTCGGTCAGTGTCCCCATTTATCATCATCATCACAAAAAAGGAGTCAGTGGGTCTGTTTTCGAAGAACAAGAGGATGATCCAGGATGTTTTATCGTTAAGGGTAAATAAGTTTACCTTTCCCGCTGATTTTGTAGTTTTGGATATGGAAGAGGACAAGGAGAATCCGCTCTTACTAGGGTGACCATTTCTTGCCACCGCAAAGGCATTAATTAAAGTTCATGATAGGGAGTTAACCTTGAGAGTGTGCAACGAAGACGTCACTTTTTAAATGATGAGTGTCACGAACCAAACTCCAGACCCAGCTAAGTTTTGCAATTCAGTAAAAATCATTAAAGATAAAGGGTCTGTTGATGATCTTTTAAACATAGAAGCCGCTTTCCAAAAACCTATGTGTGAGGAAGTACACGAGGTAAGTGTTCAACCTGTACCCACTAAAGAACCAAAATCCTTAGAACTCAAACCGTTATCATCACACCTTGAGTAGGCTTTTCTAGACAAGGAGGGCCAATGTCCCGTTGTTGATGCTTCAACACCCGACCAAAAAGAAAAATTAGTGGCTGCTCTCCGTCAACACAAGCAAACGATTGCTTGGAAACTGGAGTATATTCAAGGTATAAGCTCTACTTAATGCACTCACAAAATTGCCATTGAAGATGGGTTTAAACCAGTTGTCCAAGCACAACGAAGCTTAAACCCACAGTTAATGGAGGTAGTGCAAAAGGAAGTTTTTAGGCTATTGGATGATGTTATTATTTATCTTATCTCAGATAGTCAATGAATGTCACCAATTCACTTTGTCCCGACAAAAGGAGGGATGACCGTGACTAGAAATGACAAGGGTGAGTTAGTTCCTGGTAGAACTGTGACCGACTGGCGAATGGTCATAGATTACAGGAAACTTAATGAAGCCACCAGGAAGGACCATTTTCCTCTTCCTTTCATTGACCAACTTATAGAAAAAAATGGCCGGTCACGCTTATTATTGCTTTTTAAATGGAATGAGTGGATACTTCCAAATCCATGTCAATTTAGAAGACCAAGAGAAAATCACATTCACTTGTCCTTTTAGGACGTTTGCCTTTCGGAGAATGTCCTTTGGACTCTGTAATGCCCCTGCCACCTTTATGAGGTGTTTGATAGCTATATTTGAAAAGTTTATTGGGGATTTTATGGAAATCTTTATGGGTGATTTCTCTATCACAGGGAAGTCATTTGACGAGTGTTTGGGTAATCTCGAGAAAGTTCTAAAAAAGATGCGAGGAAACCCACTTAGCTCTTAGCTAGGGAAAATGCCAATTTTTGGTTAAAGAGAGAATTGTGTTAGGCCACAAGGTCTCTAGTTGTGGGGTAGAAGTAGATCGAGCTAAAATCGAGGCTATTGAGAAGCTCCCACTACCCAAATCGGTTAAGGCCATTCGTATTTCTTAGGCCATGCAGGATTATACCGTAGATTTATAAAGGACTTTGCTAAAATAGCAAAACCTCTGACTACCCTACTAGAGAAAGGTGTAGAATTTGTTTTTACCAATGAATGCTTACAAGCCTTCAACACCTTGAAGGAGAAGTTGATTACGACCCAGTTCTTGTTGCCCGAGATTGGGCATTCCATTTTGAGCTGATGTGTGATGCTAGTGACCTAGTAGTGGGGGGAATTCCTGGTCAAAGGAAAGATAAAATCATTCTTCCCATCTATTATGCCAGCAAAACCCTATCGGGAGTGCAACTTAACTACACAACCAGTGAGAAAGAATTCTTAGCAGTTATATATGCACTAGAAAAGTTCAGAGCTTACATCATTCTTTCTCAGGTGATCGTTAACGCCAACCATGCGGCATTGTGATACTTGTTACAAAAGAATGATGCAAGGCCTCGGTTATTACATTGGGTGTTATTATTGTAGGAATTTGATATACATGTTAAGAATGGTAAGGGGTCAGCCAACCAAGCTACGACCGTCTATCACGCTTAGACGTGGAAATCACAAAAAAGTTTGGTAGCTGTGAAGTTAATGAATCCTTTCCCTTGAAAGGATTAATGTTGTCCAAGACAAGGATCCATGGTACGCTGACATTGCCAAATATTTCATTGGGAAGGTCGAGCCTACATGGTTAACCCTGCACTTGAGCAAAAAGCTGGAGCAAGAAGCTCACTTCTATTTTTAGGACGATGCATACCTCTTTAGGATCTGTGTTGATCAAGTTATTAGACGTTGTGTTAACGAAATTGAATGACATGAAATCTTGGCAGCCTGTCATAATGGCCCAGTTGAGGGTCATTTCTCATGAGCAAGAATGGAAAGGAAGGTGTTGGACTCAGGGTTCTTCTCGCCAACACTATTCAAGGATGCTAACCGTTATGTTGATACCTGCGATCGCTATCAAAGATCAGGAAACATGTCGAAGACGGATGAGATGCCACAACACTACATGCTGCATTGTGAAGTGTTCGGCGTATGGGGAAATGACTTTGTGGGACCATTTCCAAGTTCCTATGGCAACAAATACATTCTCGTTGCAATCGACTATGTCTCCAAATATGTTGAAGCCCAAGCCTGCAAAAAGGATGATGGACGAACTGTAGTCTGGTTTTTGAAGAAGTTATTCTCTAGGTTTGGAGTTCCAAGGTTAATAATAAGCGACAAGGAAACTGAATCACCACGACTCGACGGGCCGGAGAGGTCACAGAGATGGTATTAAGAATCATCCAAATAGAGATTTTGATGAAAACATTTATTATGAAAATCCTTGTTGTATTTATACTAGTAAAAATCCCTGGGATTGGTCCCCTGAAAGTTAATAAAGCCATTTGCCATAATTTAATAAATAAAATCCTCTTAAGTAAGGTCCTTATTATGTTGGTAAGTAAAGACCTTTTATGTTATATATAATGACATTGGAGAGTAAATCCCTTAAAATGTACGAAGTAAATGAAACAATGTGGTCGCGGAAGCAAAAACCAAAATAAGTCTAGTTCATGAAGTAAAATACGAGAAGTATGGTTTCAAGCCCAAGTGATTTTATTTAATAATAATGAGGAAGTCATAGGAAAACCACATCCATCGTGGGTTCATCTCCTCACTCTTGTGCCCCTCTAGGATAGGCTCCAAGTTCAAGCCTACTTGCGTATAGGTGGTATAGCAAAACAACACTATACGCTCAGCATACCTGTATTTAACACACAGAATTCATATAATGACCTCATGTTTCTAATAATGACCAAGTGTACCAAGCATGTACTTGAAGTACGGAAATCTTATAATGACTACATGAAGTATGATCGATGAGTTAGACTATGCATGGACCCCCTGCTCTCAAACGTCATCCCACAACAGTGACAACTCGAGCAAACCTTAGTCTCCTAATGAGACCAGAAATAATGGATGGTAACCAAAACCTAGTTACCATGTGCGTACATGAGCCCTCTAAATGAAACCCATTAGACCCAAAGGCTCTTGGATGGGCCCGCTATACGAGGTGCACTAGGCCTGACCCCTTTAGCGATTATGCCATGATATGAATGATTCTTATATCATTCATCTATGACGTGCGTGATGAAATGAATGCATACACAACCTTTGGGATGATCCAAGAATATATACATATCATCCAAGATAACAGTCATACAACAGGTAATTCAAATAACATTGATTTATGAACCAAAAAGAGAATGACACCACGTTAATGCCTACCGTGAGGTCGCTAGGCCATACCGCCAAGGGGTACTCTAACTCTCTAGGAGATCAGTTGGTTCTGGAGGTACCTAATGTCTCACGATATCTGGTACTGTAGGCACGGTAGCGCCTACCGTGTCCACGGTATGCCATACCTCCATGGGTACCGTGACACGGGCCAGTGCAGTCCCGAGTTTTGTTTGATCCATCTAGCAACGTCCAACCTTTTTGAAGACAATAATGAACGTTGAAGGTTACCAATATATCTATATATGTAGCACCTATTTATTCCAACGGATATCTAGGTGATCTTTAATGAGTTTCATTCCACATATCTTTATAACGAGAAAAACTACGATCATACGGATTCAACGTAGGTTATGCCAAATAATCCTATGAATGTAACTATATTGGATATAACTATGTATTCCAAAGCTAGAGGGGCAACGTACTCGCCTCTAGAACGTGAGTTGGATTGACGAAGATGATACGAACGACGCTACGAACGGAACCACGACTCCCGAATGATCGAACGGACCTCCTCCTCTTCTCTTCTTCTTCTTTCTCTCTAACCAGAGTAATCCATCCTTGTCGTTGTTGCTGCTGCTCGTCCAAGTGCAATGGGAAGGGGAGAGTTAGGAATTGAGTGGTTGTGGTGGAGAAAACAAAGTGAGTGGAAAGAGAGAGAAGAGGGGGAGTGCATGAATTAAAGTGATGATGGTGATGATTTTTAGGTGAAGAAAGGTATGAGAGGGCTGAATGAACCACATGGGAATTAGGGTGGAGTTTCCAGGGTTCCTCCGAAAATAAAAACTTACATAAACGGTACGCTCTCCCCCCCAGACTACTCAGAATCGACATTCAAAACTAGCATTATGATGTGATCAAATAATGTTTCTCAAGATTTTATTTTTTCCAACTCCGGTCTGTATTAATAATTTATTAATTACATTAATCAATTATAATAGGCCGGGTTGTAGGGCGTTACGCGCATGCTTTAACCAACTGCTTTTGTATGCACGCGAGCTCATCACATGATCAGTAATTCTTAACTGTCTTCTTATTCCGTTTCTCAGTCTACCTATAATTGGACTAGATAGTCTATCCGTATTCAAGTTGATAGTTCCATATTCTCAAATTCATGCATACACATTGTACAATTCATAAGCGTACATATCTAACAATTAATGGCTTAGTGTCGGGTGTAAATACCTTTCATTTTCCGTCATGCAACATACAAGATCTTAGAATCGATCTAGGATTGAATCAGTACAAACAAACAGGAAAAAAGGGTGGCTGGGGGTTTGACACGGTACCTGTTTCGGCACCCTTGTAAAACCAGGCGGTACCCTGGTACCGTCGGTCAGGTACCCCCAACCGTCCGGGTACAATTACCGCCAGTGAAAATTAGCTTGTGGCAGTAGTCGGGTACTGTTATGCAGTACCTAGTTACCGTGTGACGTCGGGAAATCACAGAAATAACAAAGTTCGATCCAATTCCAAACTATTCAATACATATACCTTTTTAGAGATTATTAACACACAAATCATAAAAATGAGAGTCAGAAAACGTACATGGCATTCTTCGATCAATCAATTCCAATAGATCATATATTTTTAATAAATCATAATTCAAATTATAATCAAATAGATCATATAATCAATTATACGAGATTACTAACGTGAATTTCAAACCTATACGAATAATCTAACGTCAGATGTCCAAGTAGTCACCTCGATTAATGTACAAATTAGACAAATCAAACAACAAACAAGAAGAATGGAGGCAACGGGACCGTTCTTCTTCCGACAATAATAGCGAAGGCGGCGGCGGACAGTGGTGTTGCAGCAGCAGTCAAGCAGTGGCGGCACGACAGTGATCGTGGCCTTCCTCCACGTCGGCTCTCCTCCGTTCTTTCGTTCCCCATCTGTGCCCCGACGAAGTTTCTTTCTTTTTTCTAAATGGTGTGCGTGTGTATATATGTAATATCGGTGGGGTTCTAGTGACAAACGAGTACAGTGACACTCCGGTACTACTGTCATTTTCGAGCACTTCCGGTGCTTCATTTATAAAAACTACGGTTCCTACCCCCCTAACCCACTCCCTAAACCCCCACCCTACCCTCGCCCCTGCATCCCCACCCGCCGTAAGCCCCCCACAAAAATGTGTGGCTATTATGCAATATAATAGCCACAAATTTTTGGGGAGCTTACAGTAGGGTGGGGTGCAGGGGCGGGGGTAGGATGCGGGGTTAAGGGGGTGGGTTTGAGGGAGTATGAATCGTTAATTTTACGAACGAAGCACCGGAAGTGCTCTAAAATGACAGTGGCACCACTAGTGTCACCAAAAGTGGGTGTCACTAGAATTCTACCGATGTAATATACATATAGGGGAGGGTTTGGGGTCTCTTTGCGGGGAGGCATATGAATCTTTAGTTTAGGAAAATTGTTATATTTTACAAAGTATATTATTATATTATAAAATCTTTATATTTATCTATTGAATTGTAAAATCTATTTTACTCATCACGCTTTATGCGTAAGTCCAAACTTAACAAATTATATATCGTTGATCACCATTTTACGAGATCTGCCCAAAAACTTGATTTTTTAAATAAAAAGGTCAATTTTACAAATAGTTCATATTTTCAAGTAATAAATAATATATTTATTTTTATTACAATAACAACTAAATTCTAAACTAATTTTTGGGTCGTTACAAGGTTTTACTTCAAACAGGCCAGCCAGGTCGTGAACCAAATCAAACAGGCCAGCCAGGTCGTGAACCGAATAGTATTTCGATCTGATTCATTAAGGAAAACCATTATTGTATTAGCGGTATGAAGCCAACAAATCAAGTTGACTCGTCTAGGTCGCGGGCTCGCGGCTTTGGATCTACAATCTCTTTTTTATTGCTTTAGCTTTCTAACTATAAAATAAAACGGTGAGCATGAGATTTGAAGAAAAGATCTTAGCACACACCAACTCATAGTGGTGGATCCAGGATATTAAATAGTAGGGGTCACCTTTCGAGTGTTCTTAGACAGCTTCCCAAATTTTTTTTATACATGCAATGCAAGACTTTAAAAAAATGAATTTACCCTTAAATAGTTATTCAAATAGTAAAAAAATAAAAAATAAATTTTTTTAATGCCAATATTATAAATTTGTTTAATTATCACTCCGTATATTTTTAGTGTATTACTTTAGAAATTATCTTTGCATTTTAAAATATTTCACTTTAAAATTATATTTTTTTAATATCTAAATATTTGACTTCTCTCATTTTTTTCTTACTTAATACTATTAATTGAGGTCTCTAATACTTTTTATTAGGGTCCCTAATATTTTTAGTTGGGGTCATATATTACATAACTCTAAAAAAATTAAAAAAGTAAAGTATCACAATACACATGATAAACAAAAACTTAAAACTAGTAGGGGGCCATTCCACTCAACTATTATGGTATGGATCCGGCCCTGCCAACTCAAGACGCTAACCACCAAAGCCACCAAACAAATGGTCACTAAAGTCGTCATGCGGACGAAAAATATAGTCTTCATGATATACGAGCTTTGTGAAATTAAAAAAAATCAATCTAACTATTTATAAAAAAGAGAACATGTCTGTATAATGCACTTATTTTTTGAATATTTAAAATAACTCAAAGTAAAAAATGAATACTATTTTTTTTTGAATGCTATTGACTCTATTAATACTATTTATATTTTATATTAAAATTATATTGTATAATTTCTATCTAAATAAACATTATGAACTATAAACATCAAGAATTATGTACTAATTATAATAAAAAGTACAAAATGTAGAAGTGTATATAAACAATGATATTAAAAATCAGATGAAAAAGGAAAAAATTCAAAATTAAATACTTTTTTAACTAAAAATATTTAAATTAATATCGTATAAAGTATTTTTATTTTCATTGTAGTTGATGAGATGGTTGAGCCCAGTTGGACGGATAAATCCCAACCCAATCGGTGGTACAGGCCGGCACCCGGTTACTCGGTTAGAAGATTGACTTCAATAGTTCAACTACTACTGCTATAATCCACGTAGACACACACGCTCGTTCCACACTTCCACGTAACCATCGCCCCGCACTACAAGACCGCCGTTACGCTTCCCCGCTTCTTTAGCTGACGCCACTTTCCAAACCTGCTTTACGAACCAGGCTACGAACCGAACCCTGTCGTCACTCAGACGTGGTTTCGATTCCCGAACCTGAGGCCCGTGCCCTTTTTCTGTGACAACCTGTCCCCGTCTCTATTTTTCGGCTTTCTTATTTCTCCTCCAAACCTTTTCTCTTCATCTCTCTCTCTCAGATATGCCGATGAAGCTTCTGTAATCTCAATTTCAGCTTCACCGAGAATTTCAGACATTCTCTACTGCGACAAAAAGCTCTATCTATCTGCTGGAACGGTAAGGAATTGATTAAATTGTCCATAGCTTCATGCGCTTTATGATTAAAAAAAGGGGTGAGGTGAATTGATTTTGAAATTTCCATCACCGTTCGGATTCCGATACGAGATCAGATTTGCTTCGAGCAGGATATCCAATTCCGTTGGTTATCAGGCGTTTTTGCACCTGAACGGAATTGGAACGGGTAAAACTGCGAAATTAACGCGTGTTTCAGTAGAGAGTGTTTTAATTATTGAAGATCTTAGTTCCCGCGCTATATTCTATCGATTTTCGTTACTTTTTGTTTAGGTGATAGTTTTAATCATTGAAGATCTTGCTTTGCTTGGGCAATGCATCGTTTGATCTCTGAATTTGGTATATATTCGAGGCTTCTGCGATCAGAAACCGTGTGAATTACTTCCCTCTTCTCTCTTTAATTTATGTCTTGTGTTAATATTTTCTGATTTTTTCATATCTCGTTATCACAGGACTGAGGCTCTGCAGTGAGTAAAGTGTTGCTTTTACTGCTTAATTTTGGAATTGGAGTGAAGCCATGGCTCAGAGTAATTGGGAAGCAGATAAGATGTATGCAGTGCTTGCTGCAGAACCACTTTCAATGTTACATCATTTTATTTTATTTTTTGGGTTTGGGGGGCTTCGGGGTATTGGGATCCCAAATTGTGATTTTTCGCATAACTTGAACGCCTGCCGGAAAACTGGCAATCGAGTCTAAATGTTTGCTAAAGAAATCCTTGCAGTATAATTGATAATAATGTGCCTAAAGAAATCCAAAGAGAACTGTTTGGTTCTGATGCAAATACTCCGTAATTATTAAGAACAGCAGCTGGGTTCACTCAGCCAAAAACTAAAATAAGGAGAATCATACAGCACATTTATCCTTAAATGCAATAGGATTGTGTTTTAAACTTTAAAAATTTCTGACTGTTCAATGGCTCAATGCCCCATGTCATGCCAGGCTTGATGTTTACATTCATGATTACTTGTTGAAAAGAAAACTTCATAATTCTGCAAAAGCTTTCATGACGGAGGGGAAGGTAGCAACTGACCCTGTAGGTAATAAGTTTGACGACTATACTTGTCTTGATTTTGAACAATATTTATAGCTGTCGGATCTATCTCTTACTGCAATTTGCTTTATTCAATTTTTTATTTTTATTTCAATTCCTATATGGATGCAAAGCTTTTGGGCATTTATCCTTGTCCCCATTTTGCAGCTATTGATGCACCTGGTGGCTTTCTTTTTGAGTGGTGGTCTGTGTTTTGGGATATCTTTATAGCAAGGACAAATGAGAAACATTCAGAGGCAGCTGCTGCTTATATAGAGGTCTTGTGAACTTTCAAATTTTCTCCTTTTTGTCAAGGAAAAACACAAAGAAGCATAGATAGAGTATAGATGCCTCCTCAGATATGATGTAAATTAACTGTAAAATTCTTTTCATCTGGTTGCTTTAATTGGAATAGACACAGCAAATGAAAGCAAGGGAACACCAACAACACCTCCAAATGCAGCAATTGCAATTAATGCAGCAGCGCAATGTCCAGTTACGAAGGGATACTAATCATCCGCATATGGGTAGTCCTATAAATGCCATCAATTCTGAAGGTATGGTGGGCCAGCCATCTGCCAGTGTAGTAGCTATGAAAATATTTGAAGAAAGATCGAAGAACCCCCATTCCATGGACTCAGAGTCATCATCAGCTCTAATGGATCCTAGTAGGATTGCCCTTTTGAAGTCAGCTACCAATCAAGGGTATGAATGATGCAACCTTTTTTCAATCTAATTTCTTCTGTCCTTTTATTTAAAATAAGGTTAGCATGGTTTTCAATTCATAGCTCAATTTTATTTTGTCATCTATTATAGACATGTCAGTATATGTTGAATTTATTCACACACACACACACAGATATATATATATATATATATATATATATATATATATATCGCCTTTAGCAAACAATCACCATACAACAGTTAAGCACAACTAGCATACTTTGCATTCTCTTAGTGTTTGTCTATGTAATAATACTTTTGTGAACTTCATCAAACCAAATTGATAAAATCATTGTATCAGGTCTGGTTGAGTGGCGTGAAAGTTTCACCATCAGCCATATGAGACACATGGATCTGTGTTTATATTCAACCCATTGGCCTTTGAATTTCTTACTTTTATGACTTTTCATAAATCTAAAGATACGAGGCAAGGAGTTGATATAATGAGCCTTTCTATAACACATTTAACTTCAATTCCTTACTTTTTGAAGGAGGTGATTAATTAGTGAGGATATGGCCTTAGATAGGAGCGTTTGGAGGGATAGGCTAAGAGTAGTTGTGCAGGTTCCTTGTGATAGGGGGTGTTGTTGTTGTTGTTGTTGTGTGCTTGATATGCCTTTTATGCTTCGTGCTATTTGCTTGCAATACTCTCTCTTCGTAATTTTAGTTTATTTTTTGGGTGCTGGGTCTGTGTTGCCAGTGGCAGATGTAGTATATATTATTTGAGGGCCAATGCCCCCTACTAATTTTTTTGTTGATATATATATACATATACATATACATACATACATACATACATATATATATATATATATATATATATATATACTCCCTCCGTCCACATTTAAAGTTCCCGCTTTGACCCGGCACGAAGTTTAATAAAAGTTAAAATTTACATTGACTTTTCCAAAATACCCCTCAACCCTACCCACACTCCGTCCCTATTGACTGCCCCTGTCCCAAGTTCCTGCAGCCCAACCCCATTGTTTCCACCAGAGAGAAATTCCGGCAGTCGAAATCCGGTGAATTTCCGACCAGTGTAAAAATTCCGACGACCCAAACTGAGCATCTTGTTCGCACTAAGGTGTAAAAACCGAAGAGATAAGGAGATGAATAAGATAAAAAAGATTTGAATCAGATTTCTTCATTAACTCCGAAGAAGATGAAGATGGAATAGATCTGAAGACAGTTTTTCTTCAATTCACAGATCTAAATTAGTTTTCTCAGATCTGGCGAAGAAGAAGAAAAAGAATAGAAAGGACAAATCAAAAGGGGGAAGAAGAGGGAGAAGAAAAAGTAGAAGGATAGAAATGAAAAATTGAAAGGGGGGGAAGAAGAAGAAGAAGAAATAAAATCGGAACTCAGAAGGAGATGAAGAACGGAAAATTCAGAACGGGGGGGAGGAGAAGAAGAAAAGTAAGAAAAAAATCAGAAGGGGGGGGGAAGAAAATAGAGAGAGAGAAGGAAAGAAGAACAAGAATGAGAAGGTGCGAACCAGAAAAAGGGAAAAAAAGAAAGAAAACAAAGAGAGGAGAGGAAGGAGAGAGGAAAAGTAAAAGATAAAGAAGGGCAATTTAGTCTTTTTACTAAAAGAAAGTTGCCAAAAAAGGAAATGAGAACATTATTTGTGGACGGACCAAAAAGGAAAGTGGGAACTTTAATTTTGGACGGAGGGAGTATATATATATATATATATATATATATATATATATATATATATGCCCCCAATTAAAATTAAGGAGACCCCATCTAATTAGGTTGATTTTTACCTTTTGTTTAATTGTTTCTAAAAAGTGTTTTTTTATTGCAAATAATTTTTTTTTCTTAAATACAATTTTACATTGCCTATTGAAAAATGTTTCACTTTCAATAAATGTTTGAAATAAAATTCATTATCTTTTTGTCATTTCTTATTACCATTTTTTTTGTAAAAAAATCCAGGGGTGCTGCCCCCAAACCCCAAAACCATCGTGCCCCCAACTATCTTAATTTCTGGTTCCGCCACTGGTTAAATTTGTGCTTTCCCTGTTTTATGCATATGTCGTGATCTTTCTTTTTGTGCATCTTGAGTTGGGGGTCTCTTGGAAACAACCTCTCTAGTTTCAGGTAGGGGTAAGGGCTGCGTACACACACCCTTCCCCGACCCCACTTTTGTGGGATCCATCCGGGTTGTTGCCGTTGTTGTCATTGCTTTTTGAAGATTTGTAAATCTAAATAACCACAGAGCTTAATTAACTGTGTATGATAATCACAGAGCTTTAATAACCACAGAGCTTCTTACTCCCTCCGTTTCTTAGAACACTTCTTCTTTCATTTTTTTTCTCTTTCCCTGAAATACTTCCACTTTCTATTAAAGAACTACTTTTACTCCTACTTTTTCTTATCATACCTATCACATCATACTTTTTCACTAACAATCTACTCATCACATCTTACTTTTACCCATCACATTAAGGGCAAAATTGGAAAGTCAACTCCAAATACCATTCCTTATTTTTGCCCAAAGTCAATATAAGAAGTGTTTATGAGAACAGAGGGAGTAGTAGTTTAATTATTACTCCAGGTAGAAATACTAGACTAACCAAGTCTCACAATGTTAAAACATGGCCCTACTGTGTGGAACTATGGCTTATGCATTAAGGGATAATTGATCACTTTCACTTAACTAATAGGTAAACTATATTCAACATAACAAGGAGATTGAAGGGAGTGATGCCCAACTATGTTGTCTCATATTGGAGTCACATTTATTAGAGCTGTTACCCACTAACCCTAATTCCAACCATTCAAGACATTTTTTCCTATGGCATTACAAGATCTTTTTATTGTAACCATGGTTTTAAAAGGCGGTCCGCCTCGAGGCGGTAAGGCGGTGGAATCTCGCCTCAGAGGCGTCCGCATCAGCTAGCATATGTGAAGCGTACGCCTTGGTTGTCTGAAGCGGAACAAGGTGGTTGAGGCGTTGAGGCGATGTCGAGGCGATATCCTTAGTGCTTATGCCAATTTCAAAGTTTTTTATGGTGTAAACTTCTTAACAAAGTTATTGGGCCTTTTTATAAAAACTTGGGCCTGTTCAATACTTTTAAAAGTTTAAATTCTTTGTTGAAAACTTCAAATACGGCAGACAAAATCTAACCTTCAGATGCCTCTAAATCTCTCTGGTCACCGTCTCATAGTGGAGTCACGAGGCGCAACCGTGAGTCGTTGTTTCTCCCTCTCGGTTGCCTTTTTTTCTTTTTGTAGTCGTCTCTCACTTCTCACCCGCAGTAGCAGGTAGAACTAAGGTATGCTTTTTCATTCTATAATTACCTTATTTTCTAATTACTTCATCTTCTACTTTTTCAAATATAAAGTTGTTTAAGTAAAAAAAATCATGACATTTGTAATGGTTGTACTTATAGCACTCCGTAGTTCTTACATTAAAATACATCGCTTTTTACTCCCATGATAAGATATGGACAATGTTTATGGAATGGACGATAAGTTGTCTAAAACCTAGAGACTAGAATTGAAGTCTCAAAATGATGTCATGAATATGGATTGTCTTATTGCCTTTTAATTTTACCCTTTTTTTTGGTTTAAATGAAAACATATGTATGACTTTATGACTTATTTTTCATATTTAGGAATTATGCATTTTGTTGTGCCTAAGCATTTTTATTTTGTTATTTTTTTCAAGTTGAACTGAGGCTACCGCCTTGTTCCGCCTCGAGGCCTACGCCTCAAGCCATTTTGCCTAACCGCCTCGAGGCTCGTTTTTGCCTTTTAAAAACTTGATTGTAACAACATGGTATCTAATGGTTTTACACGGTTGATAGTTCAATATTAACATCAAATAGTCGGAAATGGAAATAGGAACATTTTTGAGGAGAATCAAGAGCTCATGATGTAACCCAATGAAGCTTATGGAAGTTGGACGATCACGAGCTCCCTTTTGGGCAAGCTTTTGTTTTCCTTTTTCTGGCAATAAAGTTTTAACCAAAATATGATTAAGTTTTATGCTTTTATTCTTATTATTTCATTTCTTGGTGTTGGGTTGTTTTAAATGATGTCAAGGAGTTCTTCAAAAAACTTGTTTATCCTTCCAAGTATCACATCATTGTCGCGTAATCCCAAAGTTATCAAGATAATAACGTAGGAAGAGGTTGAGGTTGCCATTGCAGTCGAGGAGGTTGTGGCCCATGTCATTTTTCTGACAACATATAGAACGCACAAAGGAGTGTTGGAAACTCCTTAGCAAATCTAATGAAATTGGTGTTGCTCAATCTAAACTTGAAAAAACTTCTCTAAACATTGCTCTTGCCTAATAGTCTAAATCAGCTCGGGGTTTTGATTTGGAGCCCTCCATTATATTTATAGTAATATTTCTCTTTTCTCCCAATAGGTATTTGAACTTCTTTCCATCAATCACATTTGGTGATATGCCAAAGTGCATTGCTGAAGGCATCAGAAAAGTCATCACTACACTCCTTATCATAATATCATTATTGAATGTTTTCTCTCTTTGTGGATGCCCTTATAACCTGATTCCAGCATCCTTCTACCCCCTCTATCTATTATTTTTTTTACTTTTCCATATTTCTTTGACTGCATAGCTAAGTTGCAGCGAGACGGGGACGGGGTAAAAAACGTGGAAACACCAACTTTTCCAAATTTTATAAAGGATTTGGGTATCGTGACGTCCTCAAGTATCCAAACGGGGACATTTCGAGGACAAGAAGCCGTATTTATTTGAAGAATGCGTGCAACAGAGCTGCATAGCTGATAGGATTGGAAAACAAGGGAGACATTGGCATGGGATATAAATATACAAGGACTTTTTTGTCCCTCATGTTTCTCTAACAGAGTTTTCGGTTCTACTGTCGTAAGGCTAAGCTTCCAAGTATATATAGCACACCACACCTTGCATACTTTGCATTCTCTTAGTGTATATTAAAAAATCAAGATCCAACTCGTGGAATCATTTACGATTCATGGTCGACCAATCAACTCAAATCACATTTTAGTTCGTATGTCATATTTGAATGGTGATGAATGACCTATAATTGAGGACAGAATGATATTGATGAGAAGATTGGTATATATAGGCCCATTAGCAACAAAAGCAATGCCTTTCATGCTGCTGAAGATGAGATGTAATTTAGTGAGTGATTTTTTGTGTTTCAAAATGCTCTATGCTTATTGAAACTAGTAATTCTTTTGTGACTTTTTCATTCCCCCAAAAACACGAGTAATTTTAACTGATTCACTTTCAGAAATTTAAGATTTGCAAGTTCAGAGGTCCAATAAATGATTTTAATAACCTTTAAATGTGTGTGTATAAGTATGGTGGTGCGAACTTCATTGAATTATGTGTAATAAAGTTGCAGAGTTTTTTCTCAAAAATTTTCATTCTTGTGGTTGATTCAGCCAGTTGGTTCAAGGTAATTCTGCAGCTTTGCAGCAGATGCAAGGACGACCTCAACTAGGAACGGTAAATTCCTGGATCTTTAATCATTTTCCCGTCCCTTCTTCCCATGTGGTCCGTTAGATCCTTCAAGCCGATATCTTTTGGATGTTGTAGGACATAAAAGGAGAAGTGAACTTGGGTGCAAATCAAAAATCTTTACCAATGGATCCCACCTCCATATATGGGCAAGCAATTCTTCAGTCTAAGTCTGGGCTTGGTGGTGCAGGTATACTTGATTAATTTTTAAATAGATGTAGGACTTGCACATGGACATGTTTATGTGAAAGACATGTTAGTAAAAGTTCTCTCTGTTTTAATACAGGAGACACTAATATCAATAGAGTATACTAAATTAATATGTTAAGAGTGTTTGAATCATTTGTTAAAGTTCAATAAATCCAATAATATCTCTTACATGAATTAGTTTTTATTCATTGTTCAATCTCTGTGCGATTGCATATGTTCCAACCTGCATGATTTATTTGTTGTTAGCCCAGCATCAGTAGTTTGGTTTTTAAGTATTTTATGAGGTATTTAAATTTTCTGAACTGTTCTTGAAACTATTGAAACTTTTTATGAAGTATTGAAACTTTTTGTGAAGTATTGCTCTTGACTTGTTGTTTATGACTATCCACTTTTTATTTTTCAGGGTTAAATCAAGGTGTGACTAGCCTTCCATTAAAGGGCTGGCCCCTAACTGTAAGTTACAAGTGGTTCATGGGTGCCACATAACTTTTTAATGCATTTTATTTTCAGAAAAGCAAGTTCTTGAGTGATGAAGTTTTCCATAATGTGCAGGGAATTGACCAGTTAAGACAGGGTATGGGGGGGATACAGGTGCAAAAGCCTAATTTACCTACCCAAAATCAGTTTCTTATGACATCCCAACAACATCCGGGACTTGCACAAGCCCAAACGCAAAACAACCTTGGGAACTCTAGTTATGGGTTTGGTGGGTTACCAAGAGGTAACTTCAACCCAAAAGATGGTCAACCAACAAGAAATGATGGATCTATATGCTCTCCTGTGCGATCAAATTCTCCAAAGGTTTTGCATATTTTCCCTGAATAAAGTAATAATCAAATAGATTGCTTCGGTAATGGCTGCGTAGAAGATAATTTTTTTAAACTCTGAAATCCTGTTTGTTGCCGACCCCAGGTAACTTGGGATGTAAGGC